GCCTGGCCTGGAACGTCTCGGGCGGCAAAGACGGACTCCAGTAAACTCCTGGGTGTGGGCCTCTCCTCCTCCGTGTGTGGTACTGGAGGAGGCGCTGCGGCCGTTCATCGAGCTACAACCCCAGCCAGCCCTTTTTTTTTTGTTGTTCTTTTTTCTCTTTTGAGGCAGGGTTTGGGGTCGACCTTGTGATCCTACTGCCTCAGGCTCCCGGTGTTGGCATGACAGTGCCTGCCGCTATACCTGGCTTGTTTCCCCAGATAGCGAAGCTGTGCTTCTGTCAGTCCCCGCCCCGGTTGTCATTTGCCCAGCTCTGTTTTGTTTTGTTTTGTTTTGTTTTTTGGTTTTTGGTTTTTTGAGACAAGGTCTTGCTATGTAGCCAAGGTTACATGGCAGCTCTGACCCTGAACGCTCGGCTATCCTCCTGCCTCGGCCTCCTGAGAGTGCTGGGATTACACGTGTGCACCACCATACCCGGCCCCAGCTCCATTCTGATTCATGGACAAACTTTTGAAAAGAATGAAGCATGTGGTCCAGTTTTAGGGCATTTGTCTAGTATGCGTGAGCCCTGCAGTTCAATCTCTACTTTTGCCAAGGAAAAAAAAAGAGGAGCTGGATGTAGTGGCGTACACTTGTCATCCCAGCCTCCGGAGAGGCTGAGGCAGGAGGATCTCTGTAAGTTTGAAGCCAGCCTGGATTACGTGGTGAGTTGAAGGCCAGCCCAAACTGCATAGCAAAATCTTGTCTCAAAAAACCCAAAACAGGGCTTGGGATTTAGCTCAGCGGCACAGCACCTGCCTGGCAAGCGCAAGGTCGTGAGTTCGATTCCCGGTACCAGAAAAACAAACAAACAAACAAAAACCAAAAAATAAAACAAACCCAAAATAGAAGAAAAAAAGTTAGAAGACAACTTTAGTCCTCAAAGTCAACTTCCTTGTTTCAGGAGGAAGGTGGTCTGGCCTCTGAGACGTGAGGTGATTTACCTAAGACCAGTGAGTTAGGAACAAAAGCTGATTCTGTCCCGGGCTTTACTGTCACCTCATTCCCTGCCAGGGCTCTGTGTTGTTCTGGTGAGGATTTTCCATCACTCATGCAGCAGACCCTAGTTCACCTCCTGCCAGGGCCGGGCCTGTTGCGCGCTCCGGGGCTCTGGCTGAACCGATCCGGCTGCAGAAGTTTATGTTTTAGTGAGGGAGACGAGCAAGCAATGTGGAGGAAAAGGTGAGGAGATGATTCATAAGCCTGTGTGGCGCGGTCCTGCTCAGTGACTGCGGCCAGGGGAGCCTGTGTGTGCAGGAGCGACACTGACTGGCCAGAAAGGAAGGCAGGGTCCCGCGCCCCATGCAGGGTGCAGGTCAGCGGGCCTGAGGACCCAAGCTGGGAGGGGGCCAGCAGGGCCGGCCAGGCTCTCCAGGGCCCCACCAGGCGTGGGGCTCTAGAGGCTGCAATGCTGAGCCGGGTGCTGCTTTGAAACCCTCCCTTCTCTCGGGCAGCAGGACACGCACTGAGGCCCACCCGCCTCCCGGCCCAGCTCAGCCACTCCTCGCGTGCTTCCCAGTTGGGGTGTGTGTCCTGCTTCGCCCACTCAGCCTTGTCTGGGGGTGCGGTCAGGCCTGAAGTTGCCCCCTTAGCTACTTGGCTTTAGGCCCTGTAATTTAACCCCTCACTGCCCTTGCTCAGTGTCACAGCGCCTCTTCCTTGGAGCCCCCGCTGTCCCTTCTGTGGCTCACGCCAGCCTGACACTTAGAAGCCTCTCTCAGTCACACCCCCAGCCAGGAAGGCGTCTAGATTTCACCTAAAGCAATGTTGTTTACTATGCTGTTTGCCAAGTATAGTTGTTTATGGTCTCTTTTGGTGTGACCATACAAATACACTTTTTTTCTTTGAGATAGGATCTCACTGTGTAGCCCAGGCTGGCCTTCAACTCCTGGTAGTCCTCCCTCCTCAGCCTGCTGTGTGTAGTAATGACAGGCGAGCGCCACCTCGTCGAACGCCAAACATGCGTTAAAATATAAATCTTCTAGCCGGGCATGGTGGCGCATGCCTGTAATCCCAGCATTCAGGAGGCTGAGGCAGGAGGATCCTTTCGAGTTTATTACAAAGTGAGCTCAAGGCCAGCCTGGACTACATAGCAAGACCCTGTCTCAAAAAGACAAAAAAAAAAAGAAAGAAAAGAAAAAATAAATCTTCTTTCTTTTGTCCCTTGAACATGAACTTAGGGTCTTGGTCGTTGTACCACTGAACTACATCCTTAGCCCCTTCATTCTTTCTGTATTAATTTTCAGTATATTACCCAGGCCAGGCTCAGAATTGTGGGCTCAAGCGATCATCCAGCTTTAGCCTCCTGAGTAGCTAGGACTACAATTGTGCACCCCCATGACCAACATTATGCAACAGTAGTTGTTCAGTTTTCTCAAGAGCGCAGCTGTCAACTTTCTTCTGTTCTCTGCCAGAACCTTTCAGCAAAGAATCACAGCCAAGCACAATGATCTATCCGTATAGTTCCAGCTACTCTGTTAGCTGAAACAGAAGGGTTTTCTTGAACCCATGAGTTTGAGGCCACCCTGGGCAATGTAGTGAGACCTTGCTCTTAAAAAAAAAAAAAAAAAAAAAACCAAAGTGGTAGAGCATGCCTATAATCCTAGCATCCTACTCTGGGAGGCTGAGGCGGGAGGATGACAAGTTTGAGCCCAGCCTGGGCAACTTTGGGACCCAGTGAGACCCTGTCTCAAAATAAAAAATGAAAAAAGGGCTAGGGAGGGCGCTCAGCCCAAAGCCCTGGGGTTGATCCCCAGTAAAGAGGGAGCATAAGGACTTCTCTTAGCGGGGGTCTGCTGATTTCTAGTTGTTTTTTTTTTTTTTTTTGGTCTTATTGAGATAGGGTCTGGCTATGCAGTTCAGGCTGGCCTTGAACTCAGTTTGTAGCCCAGGCTGGTCTCAAACTCTCAATGATCCTCCTGCCTCAGCCTCCCAAGTGCTGGGATTACAGGCATGCACCACCATACTTACTCCTGGCCTTGGTTTCTAGTTCTGAAGAGCAAAGGAGTTTACAGTTTCTTTTCAGGGTACCAAGAGTAACAACAACAAAATATTTTTATTTATTTATTTGTTTGTTTGTTTGTACTGAGAATTGAAACCAGGACCTTGTGCTTGCCAGGCAGTCACTGTGCCACTGAGCTATATCCCCAGCCAAACAAAATTTTTTAAAAAGATGAATGGGTTTCAAGTTTTAATGACTGTTTTTTCCTTGATCATTCTCTGCTGTTACTAGATAAGTTTTTCTCTTAAGTTATAAGTACTAAATAAATGAAATTTCTATTAGGCTTTGTAATTAGTACTGTAGTGGTCCCATTTTTCTGTGATTTTGCTGAGTATGAATTATCTGAAATTATGGTCAATCTAAAAAATATTAGATGGAAAATGCCAAAAGTAAATGATTGTTAAGTTTTAGGCTGTGCACATTCTGCTCCTTCCAGAGGGGCGTGAATCATCCTTTGTGCAGCAGCGTATCCATACGCTGTATCCTGCCCACCCAGTCGTCACTTGGTAGCAGGCCCGGCCACCAGCTCTGCCCTCGCAGTGTGCGCTGCCTGTGCATAGTGACCTCTTTGTGGTGGCCTAGCTCGGCCACTGTGCTGTGCTGTTTGCTTGCTTCGTCTCAGGGAGGCACCCTGTCAGCTCCTCACAGCATGGTGGCAGATGTCGAGAGAGAGGCCACATTCAGATAACCTTTTTTGCAGTGTGTTCTTGCAGCCATCCAGTTAGACTGCTTAGCTAGAATCTGTATAAGAGAGAGCATATCTAGGGGTCACTGCTACCCCAGGTTTCATACACCAGTGAGGCTCAGCACGTATGCCTGTGGATAAGAAGCGCCTCGAGGCTTAGGTTATTTGCTGTCTTCTGTGCACGTCGGCTTCCGTCCCTCAGCAGCCTTGTAGGCTATTGGGAAGGAATGGTGACGTACTGTCCCTCACACTTCACCAAGCCTGCAGCCTGAGCAGAGTCACCCCGTAAGCAGTCCCATCAGTGTCAGCCCTTTCCTTGCAGCTTGAGGTCACGCCACGCCGTCAGTGAGGCCAGCCTGTGCGGGCCTGGGTCGGGAGCTCGCTGCTTCACCTGAAAACCTGCCTTTGTTTTCTTGTGTTTTACATTTTTGGTGATATTGGTAATTGAACCCAGGGTAACTGAGCTCCATCCCCAGCACATTTTAAAATTTTAAGACAGGGCCTTGCTAAGTTACCTGGGCTGGGCTTGAACTTGGAGTCCTCCTGCCTCAGCCTCTTAGAATGCCGGGATTACTTTTTTGGGGAGGGGTAAGGACTGAACCCAGGGCCTTCTCATTGAGCTGTGTCTCTGGCTTCTCCTTGTTTTTTGAGATGGGATTTCACCCGGGCTTCGCTCTAACTAGCAGTCTTCTGTATTGGCCTCCCACAGTGCTGGGGTCCAGGTGTGCACTCCACGCCTAGCTATGTGTTTTGTTTTGCTCAGGAACAGCCCTTGAAACCTTCCTTCTTGGGTCATGGTTTTGGCAGTGGTGTGGACGTGGCGTCGGAATTGTTGGCTGCTCTGAGACCCGTGGGAAAATCATTTGTGACGTAAAAGGTGTTACTCTCCACAGAAATCTCCTGGCTAGAGAATTTGCAAAACTGTTTCCGCAGGCTCTGGCAGACCGTGCTCCATGCTGCGTTCCATTACTTTTCTTCTTCCTGTGCGCCTGTTCCTGTATGCCGCCCTCTTGTCTGTGAGGCACCATGGCGTCTGTCTCATTTTCACAGCCCTCAGGCAGACGCACCCATTTCAGACATTTGTACGACTGCTGTGAGACCAAGAGAAGGGAATGCCGGTGCCTCCCTTATTTCCTGTTTTTTAAATGACTTCTCTGGTGCTGGGGACTGGACCTAGAGCCTTGTGTGTGCTAAGTGCCTGCTCGGCCCCGGAGCTCACTCCTAGCCCACTTTTCCTGCCGTTGGTCACGTAGTCCTATTTGTCTTTGGGCCCGAAAAGCTTATCGTTTTCAGATTTTCCTGGTTTGAAACCCACTGAGGGACACTGAGGAATACATGCTGCTTTGGGTTGGAGTGTTTGCTGTAACCCAGACGTTCACTCTTTGAACTGACTGCCAGTGTCTGTACTGATATGTCTGTATTGCTATTCTCTGTGCATTTGGAAGTTTTACTTGTATTTCCTTTTTTTTTTGGAGATAGCGTCTCACTTGGTAATACAGGCTGGCCTTGAAGTCACTGTGGAGCCCAGGTTGGCCTTGAGCTAGCAGTTCAGGCTGGCCTTGAGCTTGCTTTGTAGCCCAGGCTCATTCTGAACTCGCAACGATCCTCCTGCCTCAGCCTCCCAAGTACTGGGACAACAGGCGTGCGCCACCACTCCCGGCTTGGGGCTGCTTTTTCAGGATGGTTTTGCTCGTCTGACTTAGAAAGCAGTGCCAGACTGTAGCGGGCGAGGCTGTTAATCCTGCCTTCCGGTTCAGCTTCAAGCCCAGCGCTGAAGTGCGTGCCTGTCCCTCGTGAGGGCCATGGCGCCAGCGTGAGGCCTTGTCCTCCGGGCTCCTGGCGCACACTCGCCGTGTGGGGGCCTGTGCAGAGGCGGCGTCTGTGGCGCAGGCGTGCAGCATCTTCACGGAGCCAAGGTCTGTGTGGGAGGTGGTGCCCGCAGTGCGTTCCGTTTCTGCCTGGGAGTCTTCGTGCTGCCTCCGGTGCCCTCCGCATGCCGGCCCTGCCATGGCTTTGCAGGGCCTCTGCTTGCCCAGAGGTGCCCCTGCTTCTCTCCCAGCAGCGCCACACTAGGGCCCTGAGTGGGGGCTGAGCGCAGCACCCGGGCATTTTTCAGTTGTGTCCGTCTCAAGTCCACCTCAAGGGAGAAGAAGCTGGAGGTGCTCTTGGCCCTGGACTGAGTCCTCCAGCACCAGGGACGTAGACTGGGGCCCCTCCACCTCTGGCACCTGGTACAATGTTACCACCCTCCCTGCACCCCACAGGCTGCCTGGCACCGAGGGGGCTCTTTGGCTGCTTTCCCATCAAGAGAAATGAGGCGCAAAAAACGGTTTCTTAACGTTACAGGGCAAAAAGGAAATGCGAAGTAGCAGCAGTGTTGGCCAGGGTCCCCTACGTACCTGATGTGCGAGGCGGGTGTATTGTCTCGTGTCAGCTCCGTGTCACTGCCGAGCAACACATCAGCCCATCAGTGTGGCGGAGGAAACGATTGTTCTGCTCCTGGTCTCAGGCCTCAGTCCTTGTGGCTTGGCCTTTGCTTGGGCTGTGGTGAGACTGTGTGTCCATCACGTGCAGGGCAGGAGACCGTTGGCCTTGTGGAGGCCGGGGAGCAAATAAAGAGACCCAGCATCCCCTCCATAGCGCAGCTCCAGTGGCCTAACTTCCTGTCACAAGGCCCCGCCTCTCGTAGGTCCCCCACCTCCCAACATGGCTTGGGACCCAGCCTGTCCCACATGGGCCTTTGGGGGCCAGGCCAGGGGCGAACTGCAGCGGAGTTTGGGTGAAAGTTTGCTGCTAGGAAGGCGAATTCGTAGGTATCAGAGTGGCGAGTATGGGCAGTGGCTGCCCTTCCAGCTCGCAGCCGGCCTTGGCTTCGGGTTTGTGTCCTCACGCAGCCTGGCCAAGGCGGCACTGCTCTTGGTGCCCCCATCAGGAAGCGGTGACAGGCTGGCTACAGGGTGCATACCTATTGTGTTGTATTGTACCCATTGCCCCAGCGCTCAGAAGCCAAGGCAGGAGGATCACAAGTGTGAGTCCAGCCTGGCCAGCTTATCAAGATTCTGTCTCAAAAAAAGAAGAGGCAGAGAGAAGTGACTTGAAAGATGGGGAGACGTCTGATGCTTGGAAATGGGAGCTGTGGGTGTTGAAGGAGTGGGCCACCTGTCCGTGACGGCAACTTTTCTGGTGCTGCAGACAGATGGTTCTCATTGTCTGAGGAGATGAAGCCACTCCTCGCGCCATCCGTGCCTGCCAAGCATCGATTGCGTGGCCGGGGGCACCGCATCAATGCAGGCAGCACACCACCAGGCTGTGGGTGTGTTTGTGGGCCCGAACCCCATGGCCTGCACATGGAGCTACACCCCCAACCCTTTATCTTTATTTTGAGAGTTTCCCTAAGTTGCCCATGCTCAAACTTGCAATCCTCCTGCCTCAGCCTCCCACATGGCTAGGATGACAGGCGCGTACCACCGTACCTGGCTTCAGGCCTTTTCTAATGTCCTCTGTGTGTCCGTAGACCCGGGCATCACATGACAGCAGTTCTGTGGGTGATGCACTGCAGGTCTGACAGCAGTTCCCTGAGATGGGGTTGCCCTGTGGGGGGCACTGCACACATGTGAGGTGGCAGATCAGCGGGGCTGGGCAACCTGCATGGAAGAGCAGTAGGGTTACTGGGCCTGGTGGTGCACACGTCATCTCAGTACTCTGGGAGGCTGGATGACACAGCGAGACCTTTCTCAAAAACGAAAGAGTGCTGGGGTCCAGGCTGGAGGCGGCTCCGTGGTCGGGCGCTCTCCTGGCAGGAATGGGCCTGGGCTCCGGCCTGGATGTCAGAGGGGGAGGACGACTACAGAGCACTGGGGTCTCGCTTCTCCCGAGACCCAGAGTGCCGCTAGCTCATGCAGGACTCCACGCCGAGCCCACTGGCCTAGAACTCACAGCGCTCCTCCTGCCCCGGCCTCCTGCGTGCTGGGAGAGTTGGTATGCCACCACGTCCCCTCGGCACCTGCACTTCTTGGGTCTGACTGAGGAGGCAGCGTGGCCTCAGCCTGGCGCACTGGCCCTCGGCGCCTTGCACCTGCTGTCTGCTGTGCCCTTCCTGACCCCCTTTTCCTGCTCTCGCCTGTGGTGCTATGTCACCGCCCCGTGGCGCAGAGGCCATCAGGCCCTTGGGTCAGTTCCCTCCGCTCCCGGCACCGCCAAGGCTCGGACGGGGTTCTGTGCCATCCGAGGGGCGGCTGAGGTGGTGGGAAATGTGGACCTTGGCTTGGGTCCCTGGGTGGCCCTCAGGTGGCGAGGGTGTGGGGACCGGACGGCGGGCCCTGAGCCTCGGCCACTTGTCTCCGTCTTGCGCCTGGCACCCATGCTCACAGCCTGCTGCCACCACCTGGCCAGCCAGCTCCAAGGACATGGGTTAGGTGTCACCTCGGGAAAGGCCTGACAGCTCCAGCTGTGCCCGCTTCCTGTGTCAGGCCCTGCTGGCCGTCCTTCCTCTGCCTCGCTGACTGGTGGCCCTGCTGTGCGCGGCATGTGGGGGACTCGGCAGCTCCAGGTCACAGCTCTGGTCTTCCCCATCCACACGGGCCGGTGCCAGGTTGCAAGGGCTGAGTCCCGAGTGCCGGCAGGGGATGTGCTGAGCTCCCAGGCACCTCCCCGTGCCCCGCACGTCCGTTGTCCCGGCGCTTTGGGCCAAGTAGCCTGCCCTGCATTTGACAGGGCGACCTATGTATGCCCAGACTGAGCCAGCGACCAGGTGCTGAGCATTTGCCTGAGAATTAATCCTTTTTCCTTCTCTTTCAGTGGTTGATATCGCAGCAAGTATCCTTTCACTGTTGGGAACACCCCTTCTATTTGTTTTGTGGTGCTGAGGCAGGCAGATGGAAACCAGGGCTTGGTACCTGCTGGGTGAATGCTCTGGCACTGGGCTGCCCCCAGCCTGTGCCATCCCCTCGGAGTGGAAGGGGTGTGTTAGAGCGGGCCCGGCCACAGCCCACCTGGGGCGGTGTTGCCCCGCCCAGCCGCCTCTCCCTCCCCGCCACGCCTGCCGCAAGCACAGGGGCTGCAGAGACAGAGGACATGGGGCTTCAGCTCAGCCCCGCTGGATGACCGCCGAGCCGCAGCCCTCTACACTGCCTGCCTTGCAAGTGTGTTCTTCCTTAACTGGACCCCCCCAGATCCCACAGTTTGAAGATGTTAAGTTTGAAGCGGCGAGTCTGTTGTCCGAATTATATTGTCAAGAGGTAAGGACAGACCAAGGGTTGTGAACGCCAGGCCTCTCCCCGTCCCCCTAGCCTGAAGGAAGGTTGAAGAATGGGGCTTGAGCCTGCTGTGGGGGCGCCCACCTGTCATTCCAGCACTCGGGAGGCAGAGGCAGGATGATCGCTGCAAGTTCAGGCCAGCCTGGGCTACATAGTGAGCTCAAGGCCAGCCTGAACTGCATAGCGAGACCCTGTCTCAAAGCCAAAAAACGGAAGATGATTGGGGCTTGCAGGAACCAGGATCCCATCTGCCTTAGGCAGGTCTCGAACCCAGGAGCTCTGATGATCTTGCTGCACTTGCTTAGTGGCTGGGATGGCAGGCTGGCACCACCAACCTCGTTCCCATCTGGCCCTCAGTATTTCTGAGCCCGGAGCTCCCTCGCTAGCCCTAAAATATTCACTGTAGGACTCTGGTTACCAAAACCACTCTGTGAAATGGGCAGTGTTACGTAGAGCCTGCGCGCCTCTTGCCTTGTGGTTACCACTATTTGTTGAGTTTCTGCAGTGCGGGGCCCTTGGGCGTGCACGGCCCCAGCTGTCTCCTTCCTGAGTAGATCATCTCTAGATGATTCCCCTCCCTCACGCAGTGTGGCGCAGTGTCGATGGTCTGTGCTTTGTTGTCTAGGGACTCCTGACGGAGAAGACAGAATTTTTTCTTTCTCTCTTTATGGCAGCACCAGGGGTTGAACCCAGAGCTTTGCACATACTAAGGCCGTCTCGCTAGTACCCAGCCCTCAGATGTTTTTGACCTGTGGCTGCTGGATGGCATGGATGCGGAGCCCAGGGGCTCAGAGGGTTTTCGTGGGTAATCATTTGCTGGCAAGGGCGCAAAGCCCTTTCTTTACCCTGAATGAAAACAGCATGCAAAGTTCATGGAGGTTTGCCTTCCTCAGCTGATTCCTGGTTTCAGTTGCAGCTCAGCATTGCCAGCACGCCCCCCGCCATGAACACTTGTGGCTGGCCACGGTGGCACACACCTATATTTGTGTACTCAGGAGGCTGAGGCAAGAGGGTCACAAATTGAGGGAAGCCTGGGCAAATGAGTGAGACCCTGTCTCAGAATAAATAAGGCCAAGCTCAGTGGTGCACACCTGTAATCCCAGCACTTGGGAGGCTGAGGCGGGGGATCACTGCAAGTTTGAGGCCAGGCGGGGCTACAAAGTGATGTCAAGGCCATCCCAAACTGCACGGTGAGACCCTGTCTCAAAAAGACAAAAAAAAAAAAAAGAAGGGCTCAGGATGCAGCGCCATGATGGAGCGCCTGCCCGGCATGTGCAGGACCTTGGGTTGCATCCCCAGCCTCGCGGTAAAGAAAGGACTCCTGAGGTAGCCTTGGGGCAGCGTGTGCCTCGAGCCGCTGCTCTGGTCTTAGCACTCGGAAGCGGAGACTGGCGTTCATGGGGCCTCGCAAGATTCTTCTGCGTAGTTGGATGAGAAGTTACTTTATTTTATTTTAATTAATTAATTAATTTATTTGTTTTTGGTCTTTTTGAGACAGAGTCTTGGTTTGTAGTCCAGGCTGGCCTGGAGCTCACTTTGTAGCCCAAGCTGGTCTCAAACTCGCAGCGATCCTCCTGCCTCAGCCTCCTGAGTGCTGGGATTACAGGCGTGCGCCACCACGCCTGGCCCAAGAAGTTATTTTAAGAGTGGTACAGAAATTTCCCAGCCACCTGGTCCAATAAAGTTTTTTTTTTCTTTCCCTAAACTGGCAACCCCAAAAAACCCTGTGGTGAGCACAGCCGGGTGAGCCGTGTGGGCCGGCAGCTGTGTGGAGGGGGGCCTTGGCTGCTGGTGCATTTGCCCGAATGTGACGGTTCCTTTCAGAATTCCGTGGACGCAGCAAAGCCACTGCTGCGGAAGGCAATCCAGATCTCACAGCAGACCCCGTACTGGCACTGCCGCCTGCTCTTCCAGCTCGCTGTGAGTACCAGGGCAGCAGCCGAGCTGCCACAGAGTGGGGGGCGCAGCGACCTGCTTCAACCTGCTTCAACCTGCCCACAACCCCCCGCCGCGCTCCTGGCTCGAGCCGAGCAGCCCTGGCTCGGCTGTGCTCTTGGAAGTGGCCTAGCACAGGGGTGATGGGCGGGGTGCTGGGGCTCCTTGGGTCCTGACCTTCCTGGCAGTGCCCTTTGTCCCCTGAGTGTTAGTGTCAAGAGTGTCCCTGCCCGAGCCCCGCTGAGTTCCCTGGGAACTTGACGGATCCGGGGCGCTGTCTGTGGGGCACAGCCTCTCCCAGGGCTCCCAGCGCCCCAGTCTGCAATTGAGGTGCAAGGCCCCTGTGCCGTAGGTCGGGCGGTTGGGCTGCGGTGTCCACATCTTCCTTACTGGGGACAGACACCCTCATGTCCCTGCTTTGGCTCACTGTCCTATCCCCAGCCCAACTTCCCTCCGACCCCCTCTTGCACCCACTATCGGGGTCCACGAGTGCCAAGAGGTCTGGTGGGAGGGGCTCCCAGGGCTTCAGGCCCTGTCCCCCAGCCACGTTGGTCCTCGAGCACATGCTGTCTCCTTTGATCTTCCTGCACACGTGTTTGCCGGCGAAGGAGGAGGCGGCCACACAGAGTCCGTATGGTGTGTGTGTGTGTGTGTGTGTGTGTGTGTGTGTTTGGGGACCCCAAGGTCAAGACTGAGGCCCTGGGTGGGTATTCCTCCCACAGCTGAGCAGGTGCAGGTCTCTGCTCAGGCTCTCGGATTTGAAGTTCTGTTAGCCACTTAGCCAGAAGCCCCACATTACTCCAGGGACGCCCTCATAATTCTGGGATCCCGGCTGGTGACGCAGGAAGCGGTGAGTGGGGCACACTCCAGCACCGTCATCCCAGGCCCACAGGCGTTAACTGCTGCTTCTGCACCATCCGGTTTAGGTGATGTGCACGCAGAGTAGGCGCTTTGCAGCCGAGGAGCTAATGCAGTCACTCAGCTCGCGGCGGCGCCGAGGCGCTTCCCTTGGCAGGTGGGGCGGTGCAGTGAGCCTGCTGCAGCAGCGCAGCCGGGGCAGGTCCTGTCACACCGACCCGAGCGGCAGTAACGGTGTCCACTGTCTCCTTTGCAGCAGCTGCACACGCTTGAGAAGGACCTGGTGTCAGCCTGCGACCTCCTGGGCGTGGGTGCCGAGTACGCCCGGGTGGTGGGGTCCGAGTACACACGGTAGGTGCCGTCCGCTGCGCCCTCCAGTGCTGTAAGTGGAGAGAGTGTGGCCGTCTTCCTCCTGCCCCAAACAGGAGCAGCCTCGTCACGAGAAAAGGTGCCCGCCCTCTCCTTTGCGCCTCGAGGGTCAAAGCTGCAGGGACGCTTTTCCACTGGTTCATGAAATAAATGGCTTCAGTTGCTGCCTGTCTCAAGCTATAAAGATGCCCTAGGATTTTTTTGGCTGCTGCCCTTCCTGGCAGCGTGGGGCATGGGTGGCATTAACACACATGGCAACCTCAGCGTCCACCTGCTGGGGCGCTAAGGAGCTGAACAGAGCAGAAAGAGTGAGCTGGCGTCGGTGAGAAAGAGGGGACATAGGCTGGCGCTGGATGTGAAGCCGTTTAGCCTCTGGATCCTGGTGCCCAGGGTCCCAGTTCAAGAGTCCGTCACAGGTGCTGCTGGACGCCCTCCGCAGGCTTGTCCCTCTGTCCGTGCATAGCGGCTCTCTGTAGCAGACTGGCACCCGGGCTCACAGTGGCCCACACAGGGCCTGCTGGGCTGCACTGAGTAGAGAGGACCTGTCTGGGCTGTGTGTGGAACGTTACTATAGTCGCTGTGTGACAGCTGTAAAACTTCCTTTTATGTGTATATATTTTTTTCTTGTAACATGCAAAAAAGGAGGGCCAAGGGGCTGGGGATGTAGCTCAGCGGCACAGCGCCTGCCTGGCAAGCGCAAGGTCGTAAGTTCGATTCCCGGTACCGGAAACAAACAAACAAACAAACAAAAAAAGGAGAGCCAAGAGAAGGGCAGACCTTGGATTGGACACCTCTGTGACTTCCGGGACCATTAGCACCATGCAGCGCCCCCATGCTGTCCTCTCCCCAGGACGCCACCTGGGTGGGCGGAACCAGCATTTGGCTGCCCTGTCCTAGGATGGTGGCTGTCACCCATCCGCCCAGTGCCTCCACATCCCTGGATCACCTGTGACCTCTGTGTTGCTGCCGGTGGGGCCGGGCCAGGCCTGTGGGGCAGGGGATGTCACACAGCCTCGCAGTGGCCCCTCGAGAAACGACCAGTGATTGTGCATTCCCTCGTGAACATGGGCCAACGTCCTCATGAGGCCCCGGCCTGTGACATCCTGCAGCCTGTGCTGCGCGGTCCAGGACTCCAGCAAGGGCCAGCGCCTGCAGATCCCCAGGCTCAGAGCCTGACCAGCTGCACGGGAACACCCAGCCCACGTTTCCTGTGTGGCATCATAGGGCCCTCAACATGAGGTTGTCTGTCGACTTTGGCAGGTGGCGGCGGGAGGCCTGGCACGTGCAGGCGGGCGCCCTGGAGTACAGGCTGGGAGCCCAGTGTGGCCCCGGGTAAATGTGGCCTTGACCTGCCGGCTGGGACTCCTCACCTCCCCCGTGAAGTGTGGAGGAGGATGCTTGCTTGGTGGGGTCTCCGCCACAGTGCAGGGGACCCTGAGCAGGCTGGCAGGGACGGGGCTGAGTGCTGGCAAAGGCCTGTGGGCCTGGCAGTGACAGCCTTGGTTTGTGGTTCTTGGAAGTGCTAGGTACAGCACCCCGGGCCTCTGCCTGCCGGGAAGTGCTTGCCACGGAGCCGTGCTGCAGCCCTGTGCCAGTGCCTGGGGAGCTTCTGGGCTGCAGGTGGCGGCCACCCTGCCTCCTTCACACCACACTGCTGTTTTCTAAGTGTTCCTTGCTACTACGTGCATCCCATTACCGTTCCTGCTGACGACAGCTGTGTGTACGTTCGAGTGTCACCAGGATGCAGAGGCAGGACAGCCTCCTGAGGGCCGAGTGTAGTAGGGATGCAGCTGCTGATGTCCAGGGCCTTCCCAAGTTCGTCCCATAACCCTGAGGGGGACTCACCCTATTTATGGGTGCTACACTGAGGTGTGTAGGAGCCAGGCCTGCCCCACTGAGATGACATGTAGCATGCCCTCTCTGCCCTGTCTAGAACGTGGCCTTCTGGGCTCGAGACTGCTCTTGCGTGTCTAAGCCATGCAGGAGAGGAAGTATAGACAGGAAAGGACCCACTGGCAGACCCCTAAGTTAAGGCGCTCTTGGTGGGGGTTGTGGATTGTCATCCGCTCGGCCATGCCCCCAGCTCGGCAGGTCTGAGGCGCTGGGGCTGCCAGTTTCCCTGGGAGGCTGCAGCCCAGCGGGCCTGACTCTGCACCTCTCTTTCCAGGGCGCTGTTCCTGCTCAGCAAGGGCATGGTAAGTGCAGGCGGGCGTTGAGGATCCCTGAAGCTGCACACAGCAGGCAGCCCGAAGGAGGCCCCTGCCTGGTGGCGTTTGGCTCTGGGGTGAGGTGGTAGCGAGGTCAGGGCCGCCTGGGTGTGCGTGTGCTCAGCCAAGCCCTGTACCCCGCCCGGCCCAGCTGCTGCTGATGGAGCGCAAGCTGCAGGAGGTGCACCCGCTGCTGACGCTGTGCGGGCAGATCGTGGAGAACTGGCAGGGAAACCCCATCCAGAAGGAGTCCCTGCGTGTCTTCTTCCTGGTGCTGCAGGTCACCCACTACCTGGATGCCGGCCAGGTGCGTGGCACAGGGCTGCGGGTGTCACGGGGCAGTCCCCCACCACTGTCCCTTCCCATGGCAGCTCCCTGCCACACGCAGCCCCGTGCTGCTCTGGCACGTGCCTGGCACCGTTGTGGCTCATGGGCCCCCAGGCAGGCAGAGAGCGCTCAGGACAGGGCCTGTCTCCAGCCTGGTCCCGCTTCTGTCTGTGCAGTGACGTGTGCCCTCAGACGCCTCACCCGGCCAGGTGGAAGCCTCCCGGGCGGGCCGGGAGGCCGTGGGGCAGGTGCTCGCCCAGGGTCTCGCTGGGGCTTGTGCGCTGTCGTCCACTAGAGCGTCCCCCACATGCCCTGTGCCCTTCCCAGCTGTGGCCCCGCTTGGTGACCCCGTGCCCCTCCGCTTTTCACCAGTGGAGGCTGCCCTGTCTCCTCAGCCCACCCGGGGTGATCACCTGTGGGGCTTCTCCAGGGTGCTGGAAGCTGCAGGTAGAGCCTGACGGCCAGGGTGCCTGCGTCTCCTCGATGCCCCGGCCCTCCGTGCCCCGCGGGCTTCCTGGCTGCGCAGCAGGCTGAGGCCGGTTTTCGGAGACGTCTGGGCTCGGGCTTGGGCTCGGGTCAGACGGACAGGCAGTAGGAGCCGAGATCCCCTCAGGGCCCCCGGCACGGCGGCTAGTTCCCACCCAGGGCCCCCCCAGCCCCTTCCTCCCTGCATCTCTGGGCAGCACCGTGCTTCTGGTGCGGGCCTTGCGCCCAGCGCTGGAGGAATCAGCGCCCCATGGGATGAGAGCCCGTGAGCTGGGCGAGGCCCTGCAGGCCGGGAGGCGGCCGCAGCGCGGTGTGCTCAGCCTGAGCCGTGCACAGGTGAAGAGCGTGAAGCCCTGCCTGAAGCAGCTGCAGCAGTGCATCCAGACCATCTCCACGCTGCACGACGACGAGATCCTACCCAGCAACCCCGCCGACCTCTTCCACTGGCTGCCCAAGGAGCACATGTGCGTGCTCGTCTACCTGGTGAGTCCTCGGGCCGGGCCCAGGCGGGGAGAGGGCCCCCGCCCAGCTGACTGCCGCCCGCTCCCTCGCCAGGTGACCGTGATGCACTCCATGCAGGCCGGCTACCTGGAGAAGGCACAGAAGTACACGGACAAGGCGCTCATGCAGCTGGAGAAGCTGAAGAGTGAGTGTGCTGCACGCTCGCGGTGCCCCCCAGTGGACGGCAGCCTGCAGTGCCTGTGTCCTCAGCCTGCTCCAGCCGCTGGGACCAGTGTGAGGGCAGGGCAGGCCTGGCCTGGGCCGCGGGCCTTGGCCCCACTTCCTTTGGCCTCTGCTCGTACACAACCCATGTGGGTTGCAGTGCCCTGCTTGACGCCTGCTAGGACAGGGGAGTGTGCTCTGCCAAGGCAGTTGTGGCGGCTTTTGCCAACTTAGTGATGTTGTAATGTGGACACGCCCAGGCTCAGACTGGCAGAACTCAGCTCTTGGCCAAGCTGGGTGCAGTCCTGCACACCTGTAACCAACACCTAGGAGGCTGAGCCAGGAGGAATTCTGAGTTTGAACCCAGCCTGAGCAACTCAGCAAGGTCCTGTCTTCAAAAAGATGGACTCAGCCCTGGCCACGGGGCAGATCCTTTGGAGGTCATGGCTTCCTTGCACGTTTACTTGTCCATTAGTCCTCCAGGACCAGGCACTTTTGTCTGGCTATGTGTCCCTTTGACGTGTGCGTCTGCCCCCTGTTCCCTGAGCGCTGCTGGAGAAGCAGTCAGCAGAACCCTTAGGAGCACAGGCTCCTGCTCTGGCGTGCACCTGCATCCAGCATGAGGACAGCCCTGTCCCAGGCCCCTGGGGTGAGGGCAGCTCCAGCACTGCTAGAAGCCCTGTGTGCAAAATGCTCCTTAACAGTTGGGGACGGGGTTGACTGTGAAAAGCGTTCCTCTAGGAATCTCCTTTCTGCAAGCCAGGGTCTCACTGTGTAGCTCAGGCCAGCCTAGATTCCTGAGTTCAGGCAATCCTCCTCCCTCAGCCTCCTGAATAGCCTGGACTACAGACTTACCCTGGCCCGCCTGGCGTAAAGTTGCCTCTCTTGAGGGACTGGGGGTTGGGGAAGGGAGTCAGACTCTAGCGTGTGCCAAGCGCAGGCCTTCCACAGAGCTGCGTCCCTCCCAGGACTTCTCCCACGTGAGCTCTGGCAGTCCGGGCTGGTGTGGCAGGCAGCAGGGCCGGCTCGGGTCTCCATGTGCCTGCCTGCTCATGCCTGGCTCCCTCCCGCAGTGCTGGACTGCAGCCCCATCCTGTCATCCTTCCAAGTGATCCTGCTGGAGCACATCATCATGTGCCGGCTCGTCACGGGCCACAAGGCCACTGCGCTGCAGGAGGTAGGTGGGTGGGAAGGCCCCGGCCAGGGCGGGGGCAGCTGGGTCTCAGAGCCTTGGGGGAGGGCATCCTGCAGCATCATCTCAGTCACTCGGTGGCTCCTCATCCTGCATGCTACGACAGATCAGGGATCTGACGCAAAGACCCAAGACCCAGCACCCCATCCATCCCGGCTCGTCACCCTAGAAGGATGCACGAGGGGACGGAGGGGAAGGCGGGTCACTCCAGCTTCCCTGGGCCGCCCTCCAGGATTTGGGCCCAGTTTGGGCGGGCGGCAGCCCCCTGAGCATACTGCCAGCTGTGGGCCCACGTTACCCATGACCCGCTCTTTCCCTACAGATCTCCCAGGTCTGCCAGCTGTGCCAGCAGTCGCCCCGGCTCTTCTCCAACCACGCCGCACAGCTGCACACACTGCTGGTGAGCGCGCCTGCCCGTGGCCATGAGGAGCCCCATAACCCAAGCCTCAGGGTTCAGAGCACCCCCTGGGGAGTGACCTGTCACCCAGCGCCCAGGCAGGATCTGAAGTGTTCCCAGCGGGCTCCACTCGGCCGCCATCTGGGGTCGCACGTTGTTTAGTCCTGGGAGTCAGGAGTGATCTAGTGCCAGGATACAGTAGTCAGCAGAGCCGCTTGTCCTGCTGTCTGGGTGCAGCTGCCTGTGTCCCCGAGACACTGTGTAACAGCTCCTCTCCCCCTAGGGCCTGTACTGCGTCTCCGTCAACTGCATGGACAACGCGGAAGCCCAGTTCACCACAGCCCTGCGGGTACGGTGCCGCTGCCTCCTTCCGGGCCTGGGCCGTGATGACGGTGCTAAGTGAGCCGCGCAGAGTGGTGGTCTGCGCCAGCCCTGGCCAGCAGCTGGGTGCTTTCGTGGGCTCAGTGATGGCTGGGGCCGGGGCCTTCTGGCTAGTGCGCACGCCCTGAGGGCAGCCGTGGGGCCCCTTGCTCACTTCGAGAGCCTGAGGCGCCTCATGGCCTAGCTCACCCTGGCTGCCCTGAAGCGGTGCCCCGTGAATGGCAAGTGGCTGGGGTATGGGGCTCGCTGCCTGACCAGCATGGGCCCTGTGCAGGCTATGGGCAGAGGGGCGTGCCTGGCTTCAGGGAGGGGCTGCATTTAAGGGGTCACATTCTGCTGGGCCCTGGAAGGAGGCTGGCACCGAATGGTACAGTCATACCCAGCAAGGCCCAGGGTCCTGTTCTGCTGCTTGCTGGCACCACACTGTTTGCCTCTCCCAGCCTTGACATCCCCCCAGGAAGAGGAGTCCCGTGACCCCTTCCTCCAGAGGAGCCCTTGGCGGAAGCTTCCCGAGGGAGCTCAGGGCTTGGGTGCAGCCGCTGGGGCTGTCCTTGCGTGCTGTCTTCACAGCACTCTCTGGGTGCCGTGCTCCTGCCGCAGGAGTCCGGGCATACAGAGCTCACTCCATTTCCAAGCCACTGCTTCTGCCCTGGTCTGTTCCCGCTGCTCCCTGCGGCCTTACCAGGCTGCCCTCTGTCTCACCGTCTGCACCCCGATTCTGTAGCTGGATGCCCCTGCAGGGAGCCCTCCCACTGGCCGGCAGGAGTGGTGCAGCTGGGACAAAAGCACAAGGCCCCCACCCGTCCCCACACACTTGCCCCTCCTGCAGTCCCACGTGCATGCCTGCAGTGCCCTGGCCTGGTGTGACAGGGAGTTGGGGCAGGGCTCCCCCTCATCCCATGGCATTTGCCCATCCTGTGAGTGGGGTGAGCACTAGCCTAGTGTCCACAAGCTCCTGGGTCCTCAGTACTGGGACAGAAAGAAGCGGGGGCCGCTATCTGTCCACCTTGAGACCAGCAGCATTCGTGACCCCCAACCCGGCTTCACGTACCCTGGGCCTCTTGGGCCACCACATCAGTGCACCCCAGTGTCCTGGAGGCTGCGGGCCGTGCTGCGGAGGGAGAAGCCCTGGGTCTCTTGCAAGCTGTGGAGAGGGATCCCGGTGGCTAGCTTTCCCCCACGGTGCCTAAGCGTCTCATGAGGTAGCTGACGGCTGTGGGACACACCTGGTAGGTGTGTGGCGTGGGTCGGGTGGTGCAGTGTCTGACCCAGCAGAGACAGCTGCTGCATAGGCCCCGTGCTGCGGGCAGCAAGGGGCCCCGGAGAGACATGGCCGAGCCTGGCCAGCCCTGATGCCTGGCTCCCTTGCAGCTCACCAACCATCAGGAGCTGTGGGCCTTCATCGTGACCAACCTGGCGAGTGTGTATATCCGGGAAGGAAATAGGCACCAAGAGGTAGTAGGTGACATGCTTCATGTTCGGTATCCTTTCTCCTGCGGGCCGGGCCCGGGCTGACCTGGGTGCTGGGTGGTGCAGATAAGCTGGGTGCAGGAAGCAGCTGGCAGGGCTGTCCAGGGCCACAGGCTCCTCCTGGTCCGTCCATCATCCTCACGGAGATGTGGCGCGGCGCTCAGGGCTGCCTCCGCCGGTGCCTGCCCTCGCGGGCGGGGCGGGGCCCTAACTGGCCTTCTCCCTCGCGCAGCTGTACAGCCTGCTGGAGCGGATAAACCCGGACCACAGCTTCCCCGTCAGGTGAGCAGCGCGGGCCCTCACAGGCGCCCCCTTGGCCTGTCCTTGTGGACTGCCTGCCCAGAGGCCGCAGAGACCCCTCCTGCCCCCGGGCCCCACATCCACTGGTGACGGGAGACTCCCCTCTCCCCGCAGCTCACACTGCCTGCGCGCAGCCGCCTTCTACGTGCGCGGCCTCTTTTCCTTCTTCCAGGGCCGCTACAACGAGGCCAAGTGAGTGTGGCAGAGGGGTGGGTGAGCGGGTCCTGGGTGCCCTCTCGGTGCCCCAGCTGGGGCCCGGCCGCCCCTGTCCGTGGCCTGCGGGGTGCCAGTGACCCTGTGCCCTGGCCAGGCGGTTCCTGCGGGAGACACTGAAGATGTCCAATGCGGAGGACCTGAACCGGCTCACCGCCTGTTCCCTCGTGCTCCTGGGCCACATCTTCTACGTGCTGGGCAACCACAGGGTGAGTGCCGGGCCGCCCTGGGCCTTCAGGTCCCGGGCCCAAGACTGGCTCCCCACCCGCTCCCAGGGCTCAGAGTGCTGAGCTGTCAGCATTTTCAGATGAGCTTGCTTGCCTATGTATCAATCGATTGATCAATTTATTTATTTATTCACTTTTTTGTGGTACCAGGGATTGAGCCCAGGAGCTTGCGCTTGCCAGGCAGGCACTTAGGCACTTGTGCCACTGAGCTATAATCCCCAGCCCCCTGATGATGAGCTTTTTAAAAGATAATTCCCACCAGGTTTGGTGGTGCTTTCCTCTAATCCCAGCAACACAGGAGGCTGAGGCAGGAGGATCACAAGTTCAAAGCCAGCCTGGACAACTTAGCAAGACCTTATCTCAAAGTAGAAAAGGGGGTGGAGGTGTAGCCCTGTGGATCCACTCCCCAGGGCCACCAAGAGAAAGTATGGAGGAGCAGCGGCGGCGGGAGCTGCCTGTTGTCCACGCCGAGCCCCCTGTGGCCCATTCCCCTTCCCCACACGGTGCGCTCGCGGGGCTCCTGAGGTTTTGGACCCTGCCTTCATGCCACTGTGCTGGGAACTTTTTTTTTTAATTTCAGTGGGTTTTTTCTTTGGGGTTTTATTTTTGTGTTGAAACAGGGTCCACCCTGGGCTTGAACTTTGATCTTCTTGTCTCAGCGTCTGTGAGTTCTGAGCTTAGGTACCACTGCACCCGGCATGCGGCGCACATTCTGAGCTGCGCCTGCTCGGTAGCTGGCCGCCGTTCCCGAGGTCAGGACAGCCACTGTGGGGTGCACGTCTTAGTCTGTGGGCTCTCAGGCCGCAGCCCCACGGCTCCCTCAGTGTGCTCCCGAGAGGCCTGATGCGTCCCCTCCCCGCACGGTGCAACGCGTCTTCAGAGTCTCCTGCAGCTGGACCTGCTGGGCGGCGGCCTGAACCCAGGATGGGGACGTCCCCACCCGAGCGAGAGCGCGCTCCACTCCTAGAAAGTTCCTCCCCCGCTCTGCGGCCTCGGCGCGCAGCGGGGCAGCCTGGCCCCCCCAGAGAGGCGTGGGGGCCTCCGTGTCTGGCACAGGCCCGGCCGGCCATGGCGCCCACGTGGCTCTTGGGACCGGGGCTGGGTGACCTTGTTTGCCAGGTGGGGGCTTCACCGCATGCCTGCCTGTGTGGCCGGGGTGGAGGTCCAGGGAAGTGCCAGCTGGACTGACCCTGGCAGAGGGCAGGTGAGGACAGTGAGCCGGGGCCCCGCAGTGGCACCACAGTGGTCAGAGCACAGTGCCAGCCAGAGGCGCGCATGAGGCCCTGCCCAAAACCTTCCCGGCTCTCACACCCACCGCCGCTGCCACTGGCTCTCAGGATACCACCAGGTCCTGCAGGCCCTCAAAACTGCGGCCACGCACAGGGCGTTGGGGCACTGGCCTGAGGCTGGGGGAGGCCGGCATGCCAGAGGCCCCAAGGGGAGCAGCCTTTCTGGCTGCTGGATGTCCTGGAGTTTAAGGCTCAGATGAAGCCTGGAACCCCGGAGGTCCTGCCCACAGTGCAGCTGGGTGCGGCTGGGGCTGGAGTGGGGCTTTTGTTCCTGTTAGGTGGGGCTGGCAGGCGCCCTGGGTGTGGTGTTCGAGGCTTTGCGGGTCTCAGGTGCATGTTGCGTCCCTGGGCTTCAGGACGCTGTGGCCTGGACCCTATCTTGGCCTGAGTAGCAGCCGCGCAACCAGTCATTGTGCTGTGGCCCTGTCCTTAGGACCCACCCACCCCAGGGGTGGCCACAGGTCCACAGCAGCCTCCCAGCTTCCACAGAGCCAGCTCATGCAGGCAGCTGGCTGCCTCCCTTGCCCACACAGCCCCGGCACTGGGACGCAGAGTTTCTGGCTGGCCTGGGCTGGGTTTGGAGCTGGCTGCTTTCCACACCGTTGCCTGCGGTGCAGAACACACAGGCCCTGGCCGCTCTGACCTGCTGTGTGAGGAATATGCGTAGCACCCAGAGCCAGGCCTTTTGCCTCTGCCACGGCAGGCAGGCAGCACTTCAGGGAGGGCAGTTTGTGTTTGTTTGGTTGGGTATTTTTGTTTGTTTGTTTTTTGGTTTATTGAGACAGGGTCTTGATCTGTAGTGCAGGCTGGCCTTGAACTTACTATGTAGCCTAGGCTGGCCTTAAACTCATGATGATTTTCTTGCCTCAGCCTCGTAAGTGCTGGGATTCCAGGCAGGTGCCACCGTGCTTGGCTGCCTGTTTATGGGACAGGGTCTCACTGTGCGGTTCAAGCTGGCTTTGAGTTCCTTTGTAGCCCAGGATGCCCTTGAACTCAGCTGTCCTCCTGCCTCAGCCTCCCAAGTGCAGAGATGACAGGCATGCGCCTGGAGGAGGCCTTTGTAGGTGGGTTCTGAGGGGTAGGAGTGTCGCCCCACTTCCTGCCCTGGCCCCTCAGTGCCCTGCTACTCTGGTCGGCAGGAGAGTAACAACATGGTGGTGCCTGCCATGCAGCTGGCCAGCAAGATCCCTGACATGTCGGTGCAGCTCTGGTCATCGGCTCTGCTGAGAGGTGCGTGCGGGGCTGCTGCCCACCCTGGGGACAGTTGGCCTGGGCCTCTGTGGACCTGGCCCCAGCCCATCCCACCTCCCGCGGCCTACAAGGAGTCCAAAGGCCAAGGCTGCTGGCCTGGCGCTCGTCCTTGGCCGCCTCCCCTTGGGGTGCAGCGGTCCCTGTGGGATCGGGGGGGGGGCGTCACAGGTGCAGGGCAGTGTGGCTGCAGCTGCTTCCCATGCACACGGTGAGACTGAGGCCAGCCGGGACAGGGGCCCGACGGGGTGGGCACCAGGGCCCAGGGCTGGTGCGGAGCACATTGTCCTTGTCCCACCTGTGAGCTTGCTGGCACGTAGCCCTGCCGTCCAAGGCGGGGCGGTCTGTGACTACATCCTGCCCTCAGACCTGAACAAGGCCTGTGGCAACGCCATCGACGCCCACGAGGCTGCCCAGATGCACCAGAATTTCTCGCAGCAGCTTCTCCAGGACCACATTGAGGCCTGCAGCCTCCCGGAGCACAACCTCATCACGGTGCGGCCTGGGGCCGGGGTGGGTAGAGGGCGGGTGCCTGGTCCCCAGCCTCCCCACCCGGGGGCCTGTCCTCACCGTGCCCTCTCCCCACAGTGGACGGACGGCCCACCCCCCGTGCAGTTCCAGGCACAGAACGGGCCCAACACCAGCCTGGCCAGCCTGCTGTGAGCCGTGTCCCGACTCCGCCAGACACCGGGTGTGCTTCTGCTGTCCCGGCACGGGGCGTCCCATCCTCGGCCCTGCCCAGCGTGTCCGGCTTCTGTGTCCTGTCCTCCAAAGGGTGCTGCCCAGTCACGCCTCGCACCAGACCCTGGTCCTGAGGCTGCAGGCAGGACCCAGGGCCGCATCTAGGGCCACCCTCTAAAGGACCACAGCTGCCTGGCCAGTCCCTGACCGCAGCTTCCAAGTACCTTGACTGGAGTCGCCATCCCGCCGTGGGGGCGCATGTGTGCGTGTGGGTGTGCGCGTGGAGCTGTGGCCCGTGCTGAGCCGTGGCGTCCCTAAGAGGCCAGGCGCAGAGGGAGGAGGGCCCTGCCTGTCCTTGCAACCGTGAGCCTGGAGGGAAGGGCTGCCCTGGGGAGCGGGCAGCGTCGCGCCCGGCCGTCTCAGGAGCAAGACAGTGCCAGCTGCCGCGTCTGTGGGGACAGCGGCTCGGCCGAGCCTTCCTGAGCTCCCTGACAGCAGCGCTCGGCTTGGGCTCCTCTTGGCCTCTTGGGAGGTGCTGTGTGCTGACCGCAGCACTGCGTGCGGCAGCTGCCGCCCTGGAGCCTCTGCTGCTGCGTGGGGTCAGCGCCTCGGGGCTGGGGTCCCCATCCCCCCCGCCGCGCCCTGGCAGAGCTGCCCCAGTGTGAGGAGCCTGGGCCCCACCTGTGTCTCCGAGACCCCCACCACCCATCCCCTCCGGCCCCGTGATCCCGCCGTCTCGTCGCCATCGTGTCCGGCCTATTTATTGAAGCCTGTCCGCTTGCTGGTGCCCTGTGTGTGGAGCCCTGGGGATTTGTACCTCAGGCTCGGTGCCCCTCCGCCCTGCCTGTGTGCGAGTCTCGTTTGCGATTTACAGCCCAGCTGCGCGGCATTCAGTGTTCCTGGTGTGTCCCAGTAGCCAAGTTGTGTGCGTGTGCACACCCCACCCCCAGCCGCCCTCCGCCTCACACTCCGCCCCTCCTCCAAGAGGAGGTTTGAGATCTCGAGACCAGAGTCACCACCGCCAGGGCCTGGTGACCGGACTGTCACCGCCCGAAGGCCCTGCACGCACTGTTGGATCAGCAGCCTCGAGTGGGGCGTGGAGTCTTTTAATGGTTTGTACTGTTTTATTAGCAGCCTGTAACTTCCCAGCGGTGCTTTTAATCAGGAATGAATTGTAAATATAAGACCTGTTCAGAGATAACCGTAGAGTGTAGCTTCCTGTTTGTGCATCTTTTTCTGGATATTCTAAGGAAAGTAATGGACAGGACCCAGCCCTTACCTGGCTTCGTCTCGTCTGCCCCTCCAGCATCCCAGAGGCGGGCTCACCTGCACAGCTGTTAGAGCCTACTCATGGCAGGCAACCCCTGCATCATCCCAGCTGCTCAGAAGGCTGAGGTGGGAAGGTCTCAAGACCAGCCTGGGCAACTTTCAAGGCCCTCTCTCCAAATGAAAAACAAGGACAGGGAGGGGTGCAGCTCAGCACTCCCTGGGTCCCGCGCCCAGTATCACAAGGGAGAGGCCATCGGCTTGGGTGGAGAGCTGCCATGGAGCCTGACTCCCAGGTGGGAAGTCTCGCCAAGGTTCCCATGCCCTGTCCCGCCGGGTGGAGGCCTCTGTACAGCGCCCACCTCCTCAGTGCCTTCCGTAGCCCTCCAGGTCTGCCCACTGCAGGACCCTGCAGTCCGTGCTCCGAGCACGTGCAGGCTGGACACTTTCTGTCCCTATCCCCTTCAAGGCTCCCTTGGAAGGCGGGGCAGGGTGGCAGTTGCCTGTGATCCCAGCACTCAGGAGGCTGAGGCAGGGGCATCAGGAGAGCAGCCCCAGCCTGTGCAGCTTAGTGAGACCCTTTCTCAAAAGTGTTTTTTCTGGGATGTAGCTGAGCACAGAGACCCTTGGCTCAGTCCCCAGTACCACAGGCAGTGGGTAGTGCTTCCATGTGTCTCTGTGAGTAGCGACGTCTCTCTGTATACGTCTTGTTCTGAGATGGCCTTGACGTATAGCCTAGGCTGGCCTCAAATTTGAGGTGATTCTCCTGCCTCAGCCTCCTGAGTGGCTGGGATAACAGGCATGCACCACCATGCCCATCTCCGGTGCTTCTCTCTTGGAGGTGGCCCTCCTTGTCCCGTCAGCTCGGCTGCTCTTCCCTCCAGACAGGCCAGGGCCTGTCCCTGAACTCCCCACTCCGCACACGCCCTGCATGGGGACCTTGTCCCAAGCTCATGGCCCTGAGTGCATGTGGATGCTACACACAGGCGGAAGAGGTGCCTGCTCCAGCACAGGGACCCAGGACCCAGGCACAGCCTCTAGGGCCACGTGGTGCCACCTTGCCAGACACGGATCAGCCGTGTCTTGTGACCCGGGCCTAAGGACCCCGCTCCACATCCTCACCCAGGGTCCAGAGCCAGGGCTTCGGGATTCTGCACTGGAGAGCTCCCAGGACCCTGCAGCGCCCCCTGGTGTCCCGCGTGCACGGACATGTCCCACCCTGCCAGGGTCGCGCCCAAGGTGCCAGCTGATTGCGTACCTTGGGAGGCCACCTGCTGCTGTCTGTTCTCATTGTCTACTTTTTTTTGTCTTTTTGAGAGAGGGTCTCGCTATGCAGTTCAGGCTGGCCTTGAGCTCACTTTGTAGCCCACGCTGGTCTGGAACTCACAGCAATCCTCCTGCTTCAGCTTCCTGAGTACCGGCATTACAGGTGTGTGCCACCACACCCGGCCCTCCTTTTATTTTTTGAGACAGGGTTTCACTGAGATAGCCAGGTTGGCCCCAAACTTGAGATCTTCCTTCTTCAGTCTCCCAAGGAGCTGGGATTAAGAGTTCACCACCATACCTGGCTTGGGCCTCTTACAAAGATGTTAATTCTACCCAGAAGGACTTTGCCCCTGGTACTAATCACCTTCTAAGGCCCACCTCCTAGTATCCCAATATTGGAAATGAGATATCTCTTTTCTTGGAGCGGGGGGGATAAATTTCAACATAAAAGTTTGGGGAAGCCAGGCATAGTGGTGCACACCTGTGATCCCAGCACTCTGGTAGGCTGATGCAGGAGGATCTCAAATGGAAACAGCCTGGGCGATTTAATGACATGGTCTCAAAAGCATAAAAAGGGTGGGGATGGGCATCAGACAGGTCTGTTAACAGGTGTATGACCACTACATACGTAGGACTCAGCACTGGTTGAGGTGGCAGGACAGAGACGGGGGGTGGGGGGGCACTGCTGTCCCAGGGTTGGGGAGCGGGGAGCACTGCTGTCGCTGCAGGCAGAGTGAGCAGGGCCACGCCTAGGGCAGCTGGGTAAAGACACAGGGCCTTAGAGTGAAGTGGCGTGCTCAGGAGGCTGAGGCAGGAGGGTCACCAGGAGCTGGAGGCCAGCCTGGGCTACAGAGTTACGTCCTCTCAGAGCCATTTAGGCAGAGGCAGACATGCTGGTCCACCTTGCCAGGTGTTGCCTGCTTGACTCAACCTGTGGCCTCTGCCACAGGTCCTGTGACCTCAGAACTGGATACTGGAGGCTATAGTGGCACTGGGGCCGAGCGGGTGGGGCACCCATCCCACTGGGGACAGGGATGGGGCCTGATGCCCGCAGAGACCCTGGTCTCCCCCCGCCCCACAGCGCAGGGGGCCAAGGAAGGGCTGAGGGTTGCTCACAAGTTGCAGCTTTTTCTACCCGCAGTCCGTGCTTACCGGTGAGAACCAAGCACGCCAGTTGGGAAAGGGAAAATTGAATTTCCATAAGGATTCCATGCCCTCGGTGCCTCCATGCCTTGGGTACTTTTTCAAGGACCAGGAAATAGCTAAGTGGACTCTTAAACAGCCACGTTACACACAGTGCAACACTTCAGTGTTGCAGCTGCTGCAGAAAAGTCATTTTTCTTTTTGCTGCTTATTGCAGTACTGGGGATGGAACCCACAGCCTTCACACTGAGCTACATCCCCAGCCCATATTTTTATTTTTTATGTGAGACAGGGTCTTACCCAGAATGGGCTGGGACTTAATTTTTAAAAAAAAAAATTTTTTTTTAACAGGGTCTCACTATGTAGCCCAGACTGGCCTTGACCTCTCAGGTGATCCTCCTGTCTCAGCCTCCCAAGCACTGGGATCGTAGGCATGCACTGAAACACTCAGCAGTTAAGGGGTTCTCAGCCCTAAAGGGTTAAGGATGGACTGCTCAGAAATCTTGCTGTGACCCATGACCTGGAAGTGCATCTCCCATCCCTTCATCTGCCTGTGTTCCGGGTCACAGCCCCAGGGCCTGCACTGGCCCTGGCCACCAGGGGGCATAGCAGGCCCGGAGCTGGGAGGGCAGCCGGCAGTGTCCCCACCAGGTGTGGATGGTGCCAGGCCCGGCCCAGCTGGAAGGCTGGGCAGGAGACCGTCGCCAGACAGTGTGGCCAGGCTCTGCCCACCACAGTGACAGGGTGCCCTTCCCTCCCTGGCACTCAGAACCCCACCACACAGAAGACAAGGCCCAGGTTCTCCAAGGGTGAGGGCAGTCCTCTCCGGAGCTGGGCATCTTAGCCGGGCGTGCTGGCGCACACCTGTCATCCCAGCACCTGGGAGGCTAAGGCGGGGGCATCTCCATGAATTTGAGGGCAGCCTGGGCTACGTCCTGAGTTTGGGGCTGCTGGCTCTGGTCCTTTCTTGTGTGGCCACTCCAGCTGGGACACCAGGTGACGTGCATTTACAGAGGGCTGCCGTGAGGGCCCTCTGCCCCCTTGCGCCTGCCACAAAGGGTCGCTAAGCCCCAGCCCGGGGAGGGATGGAGGGCCCCACGGCCTCAGGCCACGGCCAGCGTCTTCCTGTCACCTCCGCTCGGGTCTGTGTCGCAGAACCAGATCGAGTGGGGAGGTGTGTCCAGGGCCAAGCACTGGGCACAGAGGAGGCTGAGGCAGACGTGTGGCAAACGGACACCTAGCTCCCGCCTGGCCTTAGGGGGAAGCAAGTGCCCGCTCCCATGCTCTGCCCACACAGGACAGTGCGGCCGGCAAAGCATTTCCATCCGTGCCACGTGGGCTTCGCGCAAGAGCTGGAGGCGCGGAAGGAGCCAGCAGTTCAGGGTCACGCTTGAGGTCC